CACAGTGGTCGAACTTACTTCTGATGAAACTTATGCGTGCCATGAACTTGTCGAATCTTCTATTCCACTGTCGAGGAGATTGTATCAGCCCATATAAGGATATAATCAGCTTGCACATATAATCTTCCTTCCCTTTTTCAACATACCCTTCTAGTTGCCTCATCAGGATTGTTTCATCTAAGTCACCATACAAGAACGCAATCTTCACATCCATTTGTTCCAGTTTAAGATCAAACTGTACCATTGTGGCAAGTAACATTCGAGTGGATTTGTGCTTCACAACAGAAGAGAACACATCATTAAAGTCGATACCTTCTTTCTGAGTGAACCCACTAGCAACCAATCTTGCCTTGTATCTCTTCGACACCACTCCTTCGATTCCTTCCTTAACTTTGAAAATCTATTTACAACTGACTAACCTGGCTCTAGCATGTTTCTTGATTAGTTCCCATGTGTTATTATCATGAAGAGATTTCATCTCATCATCCATGGCCTTCAGCCATTCAGCCCTCTTTCGACTCCTCATAACTTCCTTATAGTCTCTAGGTTCTTCGTCTAAAACCTCAATTGCAGAGATTAAGGCATAAGATATAAGATCTGCCAAGTCTCTAAGGTGGCTTTATGACTCTCCTCGACCTATCTCTTGCTAGCATCTTCCTCCTCATCTTCGACAACATCTTCTGTGTCTTCTTCGACTTCATTTGGGGTATGTAATTCAACATCAACATGCTCCACCTCAACAGGAATCTCTTCCTGTTCCAGCTCTTTGTCAGCATCATCAGTTTTCTTGAAAGTCATCTCTGCTTCGTTGAAAACTACATCTCGATCGGAGATACACCTCCTGTGACCTGGCTCTAGGCACCATAGCATGTAAGCTTTGACTCCTTCAGGGTATCCCATGAACATGCATTTCAAAGCTCTAGGTTCGACCTTGTCTTGCCTAATATGAGCATAGGCCATGCAGCCAAATACTCTTAGTTTGTCGAGACTAGGTGGATGTCTCAACCAAACTTCCTCAAGTGTCTTCATTCCCAAGGCAGTCGAGGTACATCTATTTATCAGGTAAGCTGTTGTCGAAACAACTTCCGCCCAAAACACCTTCTGTAATTCAACACTAACCAACATGCATCTAACCCTTTAAAGGATTGTACAATTGAATTTCTCAGCTAAGCCATTTTGTTGAAGAGTACCTGCTACTGTCTTATGCTTTGCAATCCCAAAATCAACACAATAATTATCGAACGCTTCGTTACAGAATTCTAGGCCATTGTTGGTTCTCAACCTCTTAACCTTTCTGCCAGCTTGAGTTTCGACCAGAATCTTCCAACTTTTGAAATTCTCAAAGGTTTCATCCTTCGTCTTCTTAATGAATACCCATATCTTTCTGGAATAGTCATCAACGATGGATAGAAAATACCTTGCACCTGAGTGTGAAGGATTTCTTGTAGGCCCCCAAAGATCAGCATGAATGTAATCCAAGGATCCATGTGTTCTTTGCTTTCTTTGTTAAACTTCACCCTACAGGATTTACCAAATACACAAGATTCACAAAACTCCAATGTTTCGACTTTGTTACCTCCTAGCATGTTCTACTTCCCCAATTCGACCAGACCTCTTTCGCTGACATGGCCAAATATCATGTGCCATAATTCTGTCTTCGACATAGGTTTCGTGGATGCAATATTTTTCAAACCACTTACAACCTCAACATCAAGGGTATACAAGCCTTGTTTCTTCACGCCTCTCAAGACTTCCTTCGATCCTTTCATGACTCTTAGGATACTTTTCTCTCTTTGGAAAACGTTTCTGTCGAATTCACCAAGAGAAATCAAATTTATCTTCAAGTCAGGTACATACCTGACTCCAGTCAATAACCTTATTGACTCATCATGGAGCTTGAATCTCACAGATCCAATACCTGTAATTTTGCAAGATTTGTTGTCCCAGCAGTACAGATCCACCATCTTAATCGCATATCTCCTCGAACAATTCTCTGTTTGGAGTCATGTGCCAAGTGCAACCTGAATCCATAATCCACTCTTTTCTGAGTCACCACTTGAAACCACAAGAACATCATATGAGTCGAAGTCATCTTGAACAATGGTTGCATTGCCATTACCTCCATGATCTTTCAGGCATTCAGGGAACACCTTTCTTGTGTGACCCTTCTTCTTACAGTGATAACATCGAATACCAGATGTTTCGCCACTATAAGGTTTCTGTTGACTTTTACCTTTCTTCTTATCGAAATTACCATCCTTTCGCAAGAATTTTCCCTTAACGCCCAAACCTTCGCCCACCGTCGAAGGTTTATGCTCCTTTCGTTCGTTCAAGTCCTTAGAATACAAGGCTGATTCAACTTTTTCAAAGGTCGAGGACTCCCTTCCATACAAGAGAGTTTCTTTGAAGTGAACACATGTTCTGGGAAAAGCACACAACAGGAACAGTGCTTGATCTTCATCATCGATCTTCACATCAATATTTTCAAGATCAAGAATCAGCTTGTTGATCATATCCAACTGCTCAGCCAACACTTTGTCTTCACTCATCTTGAATGAATACAAAGCTTTCTTCAGATAGAGTCGATTCACCAAAGATTTAGTCATGTACAAACTTTCAAGTTTCACCCATAATCCCAATGTTGTAGTTTCCTTTGATACCTGTTGAATAACCTTATCACCAAAGCTCAACAATATTGAGTTGTGGGCTTTTTCAATCATGCCCATCATTTCTTTTGTCTTTAACACAATGCCCATGGCTGCCTCACCCTTCAACGCTTCCAAATAACCCTGCTGAACCAGTAGGGCTTTCATCTTGAAGCGCCACAGACCGAAGTCTTTCACTCCGGTGAAATTTTCGATCTCATACTTTGTTGAAGACATCTTCTCCATGATCACCGCACCAATATGTTGTGAATCGGATGTCTTGAAAGAAAGTATAAACGATTTCTTTATGATCAAGAAACACACAAGGGTTAGGGTTAACAAAGAAAACAAGGTAAAACAACAAGGAACAACAAGGATTGGTTATAAACTGTTATTCTTTCCTTTCTCTTAGAACAAGATTACAAGTATACAAGAGTAACAAATAACCTCTCTCACTTGAATTTGGATTTTATCTTCCTATTTTTCTTTATGCCAAAATTGAGAAACTAGCATTCTATTTATAAGAAAAATAGCACACTAACCTAATGGGATTTTTGACAATTAACCATTACAAGATAACTTAGGATACAAGCTAACTTAAACACTTGGGCTTACAAGCAAGACCCAATGCAATATTCTAACAACCTAGCAATATTGACTAATGCATATTAGAACAAACTTCGACTACAACACGCATTATCTTTAACAGCAGCATGCAAACAGACTTCGACCTCATGGTTAATTCTTGTCAATTCAGAAGCTACCCTTCGACCATACTAGTGTTCGATCCAACATCTCACAATTATTTATCAGATACTAAAGTAAATTAAGTAAACAAAATTAATGAAGTCATTGGGTTAGTTATTCACCGATTACTACTATCAATCATTAATAATAAATAAAATAATAATAATAATAATAATAATAATAATAATAGCAATAATAATAATAAAATTATTATTATTATTATTTTAATTCAGCAATTCTATCAAATACAGTGAATCTCAATAAAATGACTCAAATCAATATTAAATTAATAAAATAGGAAAATTCAACAATGTAATAAATTGTAAAACAAAAAAAATTGCATTTGGTTCGGATGTGTTTGGGCCATTTTTTGAAAAAACTATGCGGTTCGATTTAATTTGCGGTTTGTATTTTTCAAACCGAACTACACCAAACCAAATTGTATTATGTTACAACACAAACTTCACTTATCTCACATCAAACCCAAAATTCAAACCTATAAGGCATTAACCTTATAATTACAAACGCTTTTCTCTTACTCACACTTAGAATTTTAGTTTCAACCTTCTCAAATCTCTCCTAATAGTATCGCGCATTCTTTTCATCTTCTTTACCATGTACGTCTCGCCTTTTCTACTATATTCTCTCATCTCTTATGTTCTTTCTTTTTTATCTTCTCGTTTTTATGTTACTGTTTTCTCTTCCAATTACGGTTTTATCACACTTTTCTTCTCTAATCTTGCATCTCTTATGTTCTTTCTTTTTCTTCTTCTCTAATCTCTCATCTCATCTGTTTTTATGTTTTATTATAATATCTTTGATATAATTTTATGCTTTTTATTCCACTTTTGTCAAGTCTGATTTTTGTATATTGAATGAGAAGATTTTTTCTAAATATGATCAGCTTTGATGTTATTTGATAATTTATGAATGAATGAACACAAAGTTATGTTATTCTCTATAAGTGTATTTTTTGGTCAATAAAAATCTTGTAAAAAACCAAACCAACAGAGCCAACCCAAACCACATTGATTTGGTTTGGTTTGGTTTTATTTCTAAAAGCTAACTGAACCAAACTGAATCATATGCTTTTTCTCTTGCGGTTCTGATGATTTTTATCGTCAAAACTGCACAAATCGCACCGCGAACACCCCTAGTTTTACTTACAAATCCTTCATCCATGACATCAAAATCTACAAGTGTATCCAAATTCAAACTAACATTTATGACAATATCAAAGAAAGTTAATAGATAGTTGTCATACTCTAATTTCTACCCCAAAGATTCCACCTATCATATCATTTGCATTTCAATCAAGATCACAAGCATGGTATCCTCCTAACTTTCTCCTCTTTAGGTTTTCCTTTGTGGGAGATCACCAAGTATCTTTTGTGTTTCTTTCATTTCTTTCACTTGTTTTCATTCTAACTTTGGTAACCTTATTCAAATTACAAAAATATGTGTTATTTTCTTTTCTTATTGTGCAAGGCAGGGACTTGTGAAAGGTAAATTCAAATTTTCTATTTCTTATCAACTTGTGATAGTACTTCAATACTATAGTTTGGATACCATTAACTAGTGATTCATATTTGACTTCAGAAATTGCAAATGGGAATGAACAAGTTAAAGCTGATGCAATACGAATTGGAAACTATAAGGATGGGCATTAGCAATATATGTGTAAACTTGTCTGTTATTTGTCATGCAGATTTTGAATCAGTGGTCCTCGTGAAGATGCTACTCAAATTGGTTATGATGCAGAAAGTGAATGGGAAGGAAGTTCAAATACAAATTACTGGATTCATGGAAAAAAACACTGGTAAGTTCATGAAAGAACTCTGGACACTTCTTCTCAGCGCACAGAAAAATGCCAGTGGTGTTCCTCAGCAGTTCTTGGATGCTAAAGAAGAAGAACTCATGAAAAAGAAGGTTCTTTTGAGTCTTGATTTACCATTCATTGGGTATAACAATACCTTTTATCCTTAAGTTTATTTGAGGATGTCTGAATAAATTTGCTTCCTGTGAATGGATTAGGCTGAAAATGATAGAATATCAACTGAAATTCAGAGGAAGAGAGATAAGGAAAGCAAAGAGATCATGGAGGAAAGGCTGAAGAAACTGGTAATACTATTTGTTCGTTGCTGGATTAGATTTTATAGGGCTGAGATTTTGGTTTTAACTTCCGTTTGTGCTTTCATTGCGTTCAACTAGCTTCTGCAATTATTTGGGTTCATGTCCTTTACCTCAAACTACTATAGGATGGAGGATTAGATGCAAAGGAAAATGATACTGCTTCAGATCCAACTTTGAAGCTCAGGGACTTGGAGAACTATGTTCAGGATGGGAAAGAAACTGACAAGAGGAATGATGTTAGAGTAAGGAACAGGTAAAGTAGGTCAATTCCTTATTTTTAATCATTATTGTGTCGATGCTTGTCTCCTTTGCATTTTCTATTTAGTTTCACAGTGGGTTCCAATATCAATATATATGCTAAACAAAGTTTTCATTTTCTTAAAGTGGGTGGACTTGTGTTATGCTTTTGTGAAGTTAGACATGGTGGAAATGGCTAGGCATCATTGTAGCAGTGGATCTAGAATCCTAACAGTACATGCATAACTAAAAATGTTAGTTGCATCTTACTTTGGCCATCTGGTAGGTATTGTATCAACTTAACTAACAACAAATGGTTTATAGAACCTTCCCAAGACCCCGTATGAAATCCTTCAAGTGCAGAGTGCTCCTAACTTTCTTTGACAACCATAGAATTACCTAAGCATCAGGAAAATTACCTGAAATTCGTGAATTGCCTGCATTATGAAGTCATTTGGATTCTTTGTTATTTCTTCATAATTGATGTTTTGAGCGTTCTATTAGATGTGGGAATAACCCCTGTTCAGTTTTCAAGTGATGCCATAAGCAGTAATTTCCAATTTTCTTTTAGCTTAATCTCTATTATTGTTTTGTTGTTGGGGTTTGGTGTTTGGGCAGAGAGTATCTTGGTCAACTTGGGCTCTGCACCTAGAACTTATTTAGTTTTGGAGTACTAATTTGCTTTTACTCTCTCTTCTGTGGTTTCTAGGTCCTCACATTCACCTGTAATTTCCAACTCGCCTTATCGGTACCACCATTTAATATCATACTATCTAATATATTTTCCATCTTTTATATTCGATTGAAATGTTATACTATTTGATATCTTTGACAGAGGCTACCTTCAAGGGAAAACAGTAAATCATTTTCAAATTCCCGAAGTTATTCAAGGTATCACTTGAAAACTGTTTCCTTTGGCTTGATTTGTTCATGTGGCTTTGGTCATTAATTAGTAGTTTGATGGATATTAGATGTTCAATTTGGCCAACTAATGGGTTTTTATTTTGTTCTCCCCTCGCCCCTTTTAGCATTTATTAATGAGTAATATATTGCATATTGGATTTGTATTTGGATTTTTCATTTTGAATTAATGGGTCTATTTTGTTTACATGTCAAGGAGTATATCCAGATCACCGAAGGCCCGCGGAGGTTCAGTTTCTTCTGAAAGGATACAACGTTTTTCACGACGCCAGTTTAATCTTTTGTAATCTGAAATATTGTAGGGAGATTTTCATGCTGCTATGAACTTTGCAGCAGTAATGGAGGCACCAGTTGTTTTCATATGTCGTAACAACGGATGGGCCATCAGTACACCTGTCGAAGAATAATTTCGAAGTACTCTATACAAATTCTTCCTACTTAAGTTGTTTTTTTCAAACAAGCTCTATATCATTCTCAAGTCTATGTGATTAATTTTAGTGTTTGGTTAGGTGATGGTAATATACTTGGTTGTAATTTATACTTGTGTTAATATACTTGGTTCTACGTAATTTTGTGATAATGAAAAGAAGAGTTAATTTTCTGATAATTTTGGGTGTAATTTGTTTATTGAGTTGGATAGTCTGATTTGGGGGTAAATTGTTAAATGGGAAAATTACATTTGATTTGTGTGATTATCAAAAAAAAACAACTTCTTAGGTCGGTTAATTATACCCGACTTAAGAAGTAAGTTCTTAGGTCGGGTATAAATGGTTTCTGCAGGCTAGACTTATTAAGTCGGGTTCTGCCTAACCGACCTAAGAAGTTGTTTCTTAAGTCAGGTCCACAACCGACTTAAGAAGTCAAAACTTCTTATGTCGGTAATTCTTAGGTCGGGCTCGGACCCGACTTAAAAAGTCATTTTTAACCGACTTAAGAAGCCTTTTTTCCACTAGTGTAAATGCTCTAGTCACCACATTCCTATCCAATGTGGGACTATTATCCACATGATAAGTGCTAAATTTTATTGATTTTGAGTGTGAATAATTGACACTTATTGACTTAATTCGTTGGTTTTCTGTTAATAATCCCCCGTTTTTATGTACTTTTTGTATAGTTTACATTATAGTGTATATATTGTGTATCATATAAACATCATTGAGTTTAATTGTTTTTATCTCATTTTTGAAGGTATATAAGCAATGATATTTTGTCATTTTCTGGAATCAGGGAAAATATTGTTTTGGCAGTAGCTAAGGTGACATATGTTTGTTGGGCGAACGGGAGTTTGCACTGCGAACACGGGAACCCATTTTTGCCTATTTAAGTGATTTTTCAGCATTTTAGGTTATGTTGTTGGGAACTTTTTACCACAACATCATCAAAAACATTCTTGAGTAGATTTATCTTAGAAACAACATTAGAGTTTGCATCTTGACGATTCGGAGTCGAATCCACTTTAATCGGAGTTGACAGACTGTGAGATTTGTGTTCTTCTTCTCTCTTCTCTTTGTACTCTCTATTTGTTAGGGTTTTGTATGTAAGTTTATCTTGATTGCATGTATATTTATGGATCTTTGTATAAAATCTCTTTTACAACTCTTTATCGATGGTTATCTTGATTTTTACTTAATGGGTTTGGATTACTATAGACATATATGGCTCGAACTCGATCTAAGATGAACATTTGTTATATTCTAAACTCTAGACATAGATTTAGGACTAATATTCACATGGGTACAGATTCTTAATGCTCTGTGTTATCGAGTTGCATGAGACATCACGGATGAGACGATACATTTGATCTCTCGACTTTACGTTAGACATAATCTTTGTTGTGAGCGATACGTGATGATATTGACGAGTGACTTAGGTTGCGTGCATTTGATCCATATGTTTTTTAGTACATGATGGATGGAACTAAATACAACCCCTGAGGAGTTTTCTCATTTCTTAAGAATGTATTTATTTTCTTGTTTTATGTTTTTCCTTTTGCATTTTTATCCCAAACCATTCAAACCCAAGCTTAAAGACGTGGAGATTGTCGAATGGAATTATTTCCCTCGCATTGATCCCTGTGGAGACGACTGTTGTAGTGAGAATATTGATACCAAGCTATTGATTAACTTGAACCTTAATTCTTTAAATTCACAACCGAACTTTGATTTATCCAACGGAAAGGATAAAGAAAGAAATACCTTTTTGCGCGATGTAACAACAATGCTAAGAGATTTGAGGATCGGGGGTTGGTTATGCCTAGGGTAGGTATTTCACATCCTAAACATCTGGAGTACTCTACAGGAACCTTTTGTATGTTTGTTAGCTAAGTTTGCTAAATGTTTGTTGTGGTTATGGGTTTGGTTATAAGGTTAGGTAAATACCTAAGGATAGTTTATAAGTTTGCTCGCAAAGATGTCGCATCTTCTGTCTACGTATCCTAACTAGGATAGAATCGGAGCAACCGTAGTTCGCCTCACTAGGGATGGATGAACACTTGATTATGATCAAGGTTTAAAGGGGGACAAACATAACAATGCTTGTGTAGAGTTTAACAAAAATCTCTATTCTAAGTAGTACATTTAAAAGGATATTAACTTTTACAAAAGCCAAGGGGGAGTAAGTAATCATCATCATGATTCTTACATAGAGTTAACAAACTCTATCTTAAAGCTCTAGTTGAGGGTACTCCTAACAAGGGGTAATTCTTTTAGACTTAGAGCAAAGTCTAATGGCTTGTGAGTTCTAACTTAACTAAGTTAGGGGTCAAAGTGACTTAACAAATTCAAAAGGGAAGGTAATGAGCTATCTATGATCCAAGGGTCAATAGAGAGACTTTCCTTTGGAATGAGGGAATAACGAGGCAACTGGATGAGAACTAACAAGTTCCATCACTTGGGCAATAACTCAACAAAGCTAAAAGCATACATAAGCATTCATTCAAACATGATGAACATATGACAGGGTATGGTAACAACCAAGAAAATGCAAGTATGTGACAACAACAAGCAAGGAATACAATTAAGTCAAATGGTTACAACCACAAAAGCACAAAGATATTACAACATCTAGAGAGGGAATATGGTAGAGGTTCTTACAAGACCAAGCATACAAGGTGAAAACAACTCAAAACATCTTAACAAAGATGAAGGGAATTGAGGTAACAACCATCAAGACAACAACATGTAATACAAACAAGTCTAATGCAAGCAAGTAACAACTTGAGGCAAGCATGTAAGGGGATCAAAGAATGTCAAATGTAACAACATGAGACCAACAATCATGCGTTGATGACAATCAAGTACAAGTAAGCATACAAGAAGTGTTGCAACAAATCAAGTAAGAATTTCATGGTTTCAAGGCGAAACACATACAAGTTTACGGTAACAACCAAAATGAAACAAATCCTATCATATTATAATTCTAACAAGACTTCTAGATATGTGAGGGAACACATGAAAAATGTACTCAAGAAGTTACAACATCTAGAGGTAGCATGGTTCTCAAAACAGTTCATAATGGTAATCAATTAGATGCATCACAATCAAGGTTTTGATTCAAGCAAAACTCAAACACACAAATGAGTTAACAAACATATACACATCAAGTGCAAATACATTTCACAAGATTGAATCAAAAGAGATTTGAAAATGATTGAAAGAAAGTAAGGTAAAAACTCTAAAAAATTACAAGACTTTCATTAAGATTAAAAGTATTTCTAGGATGCAACTCCTTGAATTCTTTGATCACTACATGAAAGTAGGCAAGATTAAGAACAAGTTGCAAAAAGAGTCACTAAAAAATGATGAAAAATTACAAAGTTATGCCCTTTTGAATTTTTGAAGTTTTTTGAAGAAAATAATGAAAACTAGTGTTAAAAAAGGAAGGAGTGCCTCACCAAGTGTTGAACCCATGACTTGTGTTCTATTATTTTAAAACTTTACCACTCAAGCCAATACGCACAAGTGAAAAACAATGGAAGAGGAAATTAAAATGCAAATCATGATAAAAATCAGAAATTGCAAAAAAGTTGTCCACGTCAAGGATTGAACTCAAGATAGCAAGGGTAGAAAACACATGAATACACAAGCATAACCACTATGGTAGCGATACATCTAGTGTATCAAGCCACCCCAATAACATATAAACCTCAAAGGTTTAATATCTGGGCAAAAAAAAATCCAAAGCAAAAACAAACAAGGCAAGATAAAAACAGATTGAATCCAATCTTGATCAAATCTCAGTCAAATTTGACAAGATTCGACTCTATCTCACTTGAAATTTAATGAGGATTTTAGTGGTGCCATTAGTTTTTCAAAATAATGCACATAAAGTAAAACACGATTGCAAATGCAGACTATGGGTTTAAAGTGCAATTGCAATGTTGTAGCTCAAAACAAGCATGTTTAAGATCAAACAAAGCTTTGCACATACTCCACATACATAGTATATGAAATTTATCCAAAGATGGGGCTCAAACTCACACTAAACAAAAATGTGATCAATAAGTTGCCAATGTTTCATGAGTTGAAATGGCATTTTCAAAAAGAAGAACAATTTCATGATGTAGAATTTAAATTATCAAACATGATTCACAACATCACCACATATCCATCAGTTTCAAACTGCATCATAGACTTAAACACACATGGATTTTAACAAACCAGCTGAAGTTATGATAGCACAATAGGTGGACAAGCCTCAAAACAGACCTAGACAGAAAGTATTGTATCATTCAAACATTTATCTCAATAGCATACACAATGAATTCCAACAGCAATGCTTTTACAAAAGCAAACACACACATACAGAGCTTTCAAACCATATACAACCTGGTCTAAACAGAAACCAATACTAAGTGTATGCCTGACATGATTGGAAATTCTAAGCCATGGTAAGTAGCATTGATCAAACACATTATGTAGAAATTTGTTCATGAGTTAAAACCTATAACCAAAACTCTAACACAAAAATAGTTTAAACAGAAACAGTTTCAAGTTTAACATAACAATGCCAAACATCAAACATCAATTCATTATATGCTTCACATGATAGTTACAACTTCATAAAGGCAATCACAATACCAAGACTCAACATATGATTTAATGATCCTAAATATTTTTAACTAATGCATATCAATGAGAAATCTTAAAGTCACCTACCTCTTGTAGACCTCTAAGGTGAGCAAGCTGCTTTGGTTGAGAATACTTTGAGCAAGTTATCCACCCTTTGATGCAAGCTTCAAAACAACCCTTGACTCTTTGCAAGATTGAAGTTACTTCTTCTTGAAGTA